GAATGTTATGCGGTCTACAAAGTGGCTATACAAAACACTGCTGCTTTCTCTGCAAATGGGATAGCCGAGCTCGTAAAGACCACTATTACATTAAGGATTGGCCGGAAAGAGTTGAATTTACAATTGGTGTGGATAATATCAAATACGTCCCACTTGTAAAGAAGGAAAAAATAATTCTTCCGCCATTGCCCATCAAGCTCGGCCTCATTAAAAATTTTGTTAAGGTGTTGGACAAAGAAGGCAAAGCATTCAATTATTTGCAAAATTTTTTCTCAAATATTTCCCATGCCAAGATAAAAGAAGGTATATTTGTTGGACCCCAAATAAAAAAGTTKATAAATAATGACCAATTCAAAGGACTATTGTCACCAGTTGAGGCAGCAGCGTGGGATTCCTTCGAAATGGTCGATCTTCTTTTCTCGGTAAACACAAAAGTCCAAAACTACGAGAAGGTAGTGAGCGACTTAATAAAAAATTATGTAGAAATGGGTGATTATTCAAAACTTATTTAATTGAATTATATAAAATCTCGGAGACGAAAGTGACGAGCATGGCGAAGGGTTTCACCAGCAAAGGAAATTAATTGAGAATCGATTCCAAGGTTTCTGGGACGTCGGTATGATGGGTGACTACTGTTGGTTTCTCATAAGAGAAACCGATCCTAAACTAAATAAACGACAAAACAAAACACATAATCATTTCGACTATAATGTAAGAACATCAACTTAAGACAAAAATAACACATTGTTTTAATACATATTACTAATTTATAAATAAATGAGTTTATAAAAACTAAAACGACATTAAAATTGACTTTTTACTTAACAGAAACAGCTCATAGCTAGATATCCCACCCCTACTTTACACACTACATACGCATAAACATATGTACGTATACATCGACTTTGCGCGACTTGGATATATTTATTTGATCATCTACAACTTTCCTATTTATCCATTAATTTTATTCGTTGGTAGCTTAGTTTTTTATAAAGAAACAGGACTTCATATAAAATAAAAAATTTAAAAAATATCTTTGTTTTAAAATTTTTTCCTTGCCAAAGTTTATTTTTTTTAATTTTTTCATAAAAAAATTTAAAAGCACGAAGTGATTAATAAATTTCTCAGGAAAAATGGAGTAGAAAATATTTTTAGGAAATATCATTCTCTTTTATTTTCTATAATTTGCAGTAAGATTGCTCAACTGGTCAGTGAGATATACATACATGATTAAATCAAGACACCTTTATTTTTGGTCGAATAACGGTAAATTGCAAATACTCAAAAACGTATCCATAAAAAAAAATTTATTCGATTTTCGAAATCAGCGAGCGATTCCACATACAAATTGGATAGTGGCGTTCAGGAAACATTTTTGCTGTAAATCAGTGTTATTTTCTGCCCTGGTTTTAAATAATTAAAAAGGGTAAATTTTAGAATAGCATCGCCGGACTTCGAGGTTAAAATGGGTATGTACGGATAGAGGAGGTCCTCTAGATTAAGAAAAAAATATATATAGTTGCCGCTGATTTATGGTTTTTGAGATATTCGCATTTAAAGTTCAAAAATTCAACTATTTAAAATGCGTGTTTTTATGGTTTATAATGAATTTTATGGTTATATTTTCAACTTTTGTATCCACTAACACTTCACTAAATCGTTTCTAACCACTTATTTTATATTAAATAGTGCAAAAATAATTATTATTTTTGTTCGTACAATAACAAATGTGTTGCATTCTAACTAATAATCGGTGCTACCTTACGTTCATATTTAACAGGAGAATCAAAAGAAATAAAGAAAACAAATAATACCCCAATGACAGGAAATATATAACACATTAGTTTTCCGCACAGAATGCTTTTCTGTTTTGGCGGCCTTATGCCGCGCTTCAAAAAAATATCCCTCAGTCGGACTAACACATAGGCGTGCTCAGTTCTTTTGCGTTGAACTTCTTTTTTCGTTGCCTTCGCTTCAAAAAAATAACCCTGAAAGATTTTACATTACTCATCACACATTTAATGAACTTAGTAATGACGTCATAATCTTTCTTTTTTCTTATTTTTATTCCATTACAAAATATGGTAACACTAATTTTTTGCTTTGTTTACAACCACTTTCCCATTTTATGAATAAATGGATTTTAACTAAAGTTTAATGTGGAATTAAAGTTATTTTTTCACTATTTAATATAAAATATATGATGAGAAATTAATTAGTGGATATAAAAGTATAAAATATAAGTGTAAAATCGGAGAAATACGCATTTTACATCCTTGATATTTTTGACTTTAAATGCAAATATCTCAAAAACTATAAGGAGGACCTTCTCTATTCGTACATACCCATTTTAACCCCAAAATCCGGGGATGCTATTCTAAATCAGCCATTAAAAATATTAAAACTAAATTTTACACACACGCTATTTCTATTTGCTTCCATTCAAACAATTAAAAAGTCCCGTTATTAAAAAAAAAAAGAGTTACCAGATGATAACTAATACAGAGCATAAGAATGTAATTAAAAATGTTGCCAGGTGGATGTGAAATTGATGAAAAAAAAGCAAACTAAAATTACAAATATTCGTGAAACTTTTGTCCCTTACGGTATACTGGCGGAAATTATTATAAGTATCTGGGCAGTAAGAAACGAAACCAAATTTGAAGAATAAGGTATTTTTGATAGTGACAAGGTGATAGGGGCTGATTTAAAAAAGTTATATTTGATAGCATAATCTTAAAAATGTATATTTTTATATAAATTTTTATTTATGAGACTATGTTGTGTAGCTTAGGCTACGGCATGTATGTTCCAAGTTACCAAGATGTTGCAAATTAAGTGACAAATAGACAGACTGACATATTGACCATATAATGCAAAACGGTTTTTCGATTTGCAACATGTTGCAGGAATATACAAATAAAAGTATTAGTTAAATCGAAATTACCCAAATAATACTTGATAGTTGATACAGTATATTGTAAAAGTTAGTAACCACACTACGAAGGCAAACTTGCACAACTGAAAAATCTCATCTAAGGCTATAACTGAGAATCCATGCTTTTGATGGTAATTGTACATGCGAGTAAAAAATGAATCCAAATCTTCAATATGATTCCATCGAGCTGAAAATAAAAATAAAAAGTTAGATGTAATATTTCTTATTAGAACATATTTTTTTGGAATATAAAAACAATTATATACTTTCTATATTTTTACTAGCTTTATTTCTCTCTCTTTGGAGAATTAAATTAATTCGCACCGAATCTTCTCTCCCATTTATGATAACATATGTAGATATTTCTAACGAGCGCCTGTTGCAGATTTTTTCTTTCTTTCAAATAAATGTATACTATTAAATATTTCAAATATAGCGGATAGTAGGGATTCTAGCTAGGCTTCTCGTTCTCTTAGCCAAGAAAATAAAACTGTTTCTTTTAAAAATACTCGTAAATATACCAACTTCTATTGTTAACCTGAGCAAACATAAACAGAAATTGTGAAAATCTTTAACTTAATCAGTGTATTAAGTAATTTATGTTAGTACAAAAATTAAAATTGCCTTTAGCAGTTATATTCGAATATTTTACTAATACGCAGATGTGTGTATTTGCATATGCACCTATGACGACGATTGATGAACTTCGTACGAATATCGAACGTGAAATTGCCTCCGATTTATGCTTGAAAACTGTCGATAATTGCTGTCAGTATCTGAACTTCTAAAGCGTGCCCGTGCCGCCCATGCAAAAGTTCCATACTTAATGGTATTGAATGTACTCCTATGTACAGAAATAAATAATTTCATAAATATCCCAAACCGCTTTTGTTTTATTTAAAACTTTTGTAGCGCTCTTACTAAAAATAAGATTTATACTAAAATCAAGTTAATAAAGTTAAATGAGATATAAATGATATAAACTCACCTTAAGGTGCTAAATTTTATATGGTATATGGGGTATATGATACTTTTACATTTGACTTAAGCAGCTCACGACTTCCAGTCTTTAATCAAGTTTCTTCTGGGTAGCCGTTTGAAGGCGAGCTAAAGTGAGAAGGCGAAGCAACCGGCAGGTTGTGCGCTGGGTTTGGGACCCAACATATACAAAATCATACCAATGAAAAGGAACAAGCCTCGGATGAGAGACCCCCCTTTTGATGACGACAATGGCAAATGAAATAAGGACTACGAATTGAGGGCATGCCCCTGGAATGTCCGGACCCTTAATTGGGAAGATGCCGCTCCCCAGCTGGTTATGTTCTCGTGAAAATAAAGGCTGACATCTGCGCCGTCCAAGAAATGCGATGGACGGGACAAGGAAAGAAACGAGTAGGTCCTTGTGTCATTTACTACAGTGGCCATATAAAGGAGCTTTGGTGTGGGATTCGTGGTGGGAGAGAGACTCCGACGCCGAGTACTATCATTCACTCCGGTGAATGAACGTCTAGCCACAATCCGCATCAAAGCGTGGTTCTTCAACATATCGTTGATTTGCGCCCACGCTTTGACGGAAGAGAAGGACGATGTGACCAAAGATGCCATTTATGAGTGCTTGGAGCGCACTTATGAGAGCTGCCCCACGTCGAGAAGCTGCAATCACAACAGACAGCCCAAAGATTTTCTACTCGGCTTTCACTCCTGCTCTCTGAGAACACTCCTCAACAACTCAGTATAAGGGAAATGTGGGACGGCATTTCAAACTCCTTACGTACAGCTCGTACGACGAGGAGTGCCGTGTCGCAACAGAGAGAAAACAGGCTGCCTACCGCGCAACGTTACGATCGACCACAACACGYGTGGGATGGGATAGATACCGAGAGTTGAAAAAGGAAGCGATACGCATTTGCAGACAGAAAAAGAGGCCGAAATGAGTGAGTACGAAGAGCTTGATAAGCTGGCCGACAGGGGTCGAAAATTCTACGAAAAAATGCGGCGGCTTACAGAAGGTTTCAAGACCGGAGCATACTCTTGTAGAACCCCCAAATGTGATCTAGTCACCGATGCCCAGAGCATACTTAAATTATGGAGGGAACATTTCTGGATTGCCGGCCGAGCTATTCAAACACGGCGGCGAAGAACTGATAAGCAACATGCATCAGATTCTTTGTAAAAATCCAACGATTGCAATTTAAGTGTGATATGCCCAATCCAAAAAAAGGAGACGCCACAATCTGGGATAAGCCTCCTCAATACCGCGTATAAGGTTCTCTCGAGCGTATTGTGTGAAAGATTAAAGCCCACCGTCAACAAACTGATTGGACCTTATCAGTGTGGCTTCAGACCTGGAAAATCAACAACCGACCAGATATTCACCATGTSCCAAATCTTGGAAAAGACCCGTGAAAGGAGAATCGACACTTACCGCCTCTTCGTCGATTTCGAAGCTGCTTTCGACAGCACGAAAAGGAGCTGGCTTTATGCCGCGACGTCTGAATTTGGTATCCCCGCAAAACTTATAATCTGAAACCCAACACCCTCGCCATTAGTTCTGCTTTCTCCAGACTGGACAAGGAAGCAACACAAATGGGTCTGGCAGTGAACGAGGGCAAGACGAAATATTATATCTCCTGTCATCAAACAAACTTGCGACTTGGTACTCACGCCACTGTTGACAGTCATACCTTTGAAGTCGTAGATAATTTCGTCTATCTTGGAACCAGCGTAAACACCACCACGTGGCGCCACGTAGCGAAAAGAAGAAACGACTGGCCCGCTGTTGTTAACTCGGCTATAATCGCGTAAGCTGTGTCTACGCCAATTAAGAAGAAGATATCGGGTATGTGAGCATTACCAATCAAAGGGTGGGAACTTGCTAAAATCTACTCGAGTACATATCCCGACGTAATTTTGCGAAGATAACATTGGTCTACCGTTGTTTTGTTAAGATATATATTTGATATATTTGTGGACATAGTTCATGAAACTATCAATGGCTTTCAAAGATTTGCCCAATTTCGACATTATTCTATCCATTGTTTATTATAAAAATCAGAAAACGTAAAAAAATAGCAGATATCATTACAGTGTTAATTCGATTTTGAAAAAATAAGGGTACTTTTAAGTAAACAGAGAAAAAAATTTGGAAAATATGTGTTTTATTTCAATAAAATGCCTTTTGTGAGCTTTTATTTAATACTTTTCCACGTGGTTATTACTTTTTAAGGGATCTACCAATATTATTCCACATGCAACGCTTTTAAAAATTATTTTATTATTCCTAATTTGATCACATATTAATTCACTACGTTTATGGTGAGAAAATTGTAACTTTGGTGTATCATAGGTGTTTCACTCTCTTATCATCATTATTTGTGAGTAGTCCATGCATTTGAAACAAAAGCTAAATTTCCGTTGACTAAAGCATGACATTTTGTAGATCATACTTATAGTATTTCCATGTCTGATTTTTAATACAGAAGATGTGGAGAACCATAATCATGCTAGGAAAACTAAATTGCTATTACTTCGAAGTTAATATTTATCAAAATATCTGATATTAAGTTACCTTAAAAAAAAAGAGTACATTCAATATTTTCATGAATCTGGACTCTTGTGCACTGACCGATGCATTGATCTGGGATAATTCGTAAATCGATATCGCATATTTTCAGCATTAAATTATAATAGTAATGTGATCAAATTGAATTTTATAAATAAATATCGCGTGTTTTCCGAATCGGTACATTTCTTTCTCTGTAAGTTGGTAGATTCATTCTGTGCAAAATGGTTTGGTTTTATAACTTCAAATGGTTTGGGAGATACATTACACCTATTAGTGGATTTGTTCTACCAAATATCATGTACTTTATTTTATTGTGGAGCTTAGTTATGGCAATTTATAGGTTGTTGATTTTTTGCGTTTTGTGGGCTTGGCAATTATCTATTTATGTAATTATTTCAAGTTACAGGTTGCACAGACAGACGGACGGACAGGCCGACATCCGCACATCCGACTCTAAACTGTATTTCTAATGAACTAACAACAAAGCAATGATCGTAATTTAAATGTATGTGAGAAAACCTCAGCTAGCTAGTGAAGGAATGACGATGATTTCGTTAATTTCGTTTCATTAAAATATTACACGTATTGACCAACATAAGATAACCACATTGACATTGACTGGACTGAAGTTGGCAAGTAGGTAGGTAAGTGACTGGGGAAGTATTGAACCTATAGTAGTATATTATCATATTTTGGAATAAAACAAAAAAAAGAAAAAAAAATTGGTTTTACCGAAAACTCAACAAATTTAACAATTTCTTCAAAGATTACAATATTGCTTTGGTCAGAAAAACATGCCAAATTTCGTGAAGATATATTGTCAAGGTAAAAAAAAAAATTCCATACAACCACTTGATTACGATCGCTCAGTTTGTATGCCAGCTATATGCTATAATAGCCTGATCTAAACAATTTCTTCGGAGATCGCACCTTAAAAGTATTCCAAAGCATTTAATTCCGTTTGTTCAGTTTGTAAGGAAGCTATAGTCTATGGTGATCTAATCTGACCAATTTCTTCGATTATTTAACCAAATAGAAAGTAGTCTTTGCAAATCGCTGTAGTTGGTGCTGATTGTGGTTTCCCCTTTTTGTGTATTGAGCAGAGCACACATAAATTCCAATCGTAGGGCATGCTTTTGTTCGAACATATTTTACAAAGAAGCTGATTCATGCTCCTTATCAGTTTTTCGTCGCCGTGTTTGAATAGCTCAGTCGGCAATCCTTGGGCCTCCCGCTTTGTTGTTCTCCAGACGCGTACTTGCTATTCGAACTTTTTCATGGTCGAGCAATGGAACATCTGCTCCATGGTCATCGACTGGGGATTCCGGTTCGCCTTCTCCAGGCGTTATATTATCACTCCTATTTAGCAGGCTAGAGAAGTGTTCCCTCCATAATCTTAGTATGATCTGGACATCGGACATTTTCGTAGAATTTTCAAGCATTACCCTTGTCGTCCAGCTTGTCACGCTCTTTTTACTCACACATTTCGGCCTCTGTCTTTTACTGTCTGCAAATGTTTTTCACATCCCTCTTCAACTCTCGCTATATGGGTAGGTGGGTGTGTATCTTTGCTGCAAAAAGATAGTGGTCCGAGTCGATGTTAAGACTTTGGAGCGTATGCA